GCGAAAGGAGGGCTCTCGAGGCAGACTTCACCCCTCGGAGGCTCCCTCCAGCAGCCTTGGGGGCCTGGGGGCCGTAGGCACGAGGGAGAAGACCCCCACGAGGGAGAAGACCCCACGTCCCTGGAACACGGCAGCCGGCGACAGCAGTGACCTGGGGGAAGCGGGCACGGCCAGGCGGGCGAGGACGCACGTGGTCCAAGCGTTTCCTGCGGTCGGTCGTGCTGAGTGGCCTGCCGGGGGCTTGCGGCGACATGAATGACAGCCAGTCTCGAGTGAATTTCCGTCCCTGGGCCCACACCGTGGAAGGACCGAGGCCGGTTCTGTGCCTTTCACCTGTCGTCACAGGCACTTCTGGTTGACGCGACGTTGGAAGGAGTCGGGGTTGGACGGGCAAACCCTGGTGACGAGAGGGAAGCTCGTGAGGAGCCCGCACACTGTCCTCCGCGGAGTCTGGGTGTGCAGACGAGGCCGGGACGGGAGGCCACGGGGTCGGAGGGCGAGACCTCGCCCGGCCCCATGACCGAGGGCACACGCAGGGCTGGGTGGCCCTAGACGGCCTGCTCCCCGCGGACTGGAACTTAAAAGGCCCCGTTTAGCGCAGCCGGACCACTCAAGAGGTTGTCCCAGCTCCGACGTGGCCGCCACATCCATGTGTGTAATCAGCGCAGCCGATGAAACGGGCAGGAGAGCGGTGCCCCTTGGCCGGCAGGGCGGGGTGCCTCCCAGGCCGGTGCCTCCACCCCTGCTCCCCGGCCAGCAGACCCGCTCTCCCTGCGGAACCCTCCCTCTTGCAGGCTCCTTCCGCCCGCCCCCCCTCAGGTTTCATCATGAACAGTCCCGGCCGGGGGCACATGGACCCGGGTGATGCGAGCGCCCACGGTGGTTTTCGGAGTGGAAGCGTTCGTGTGTTAAATATAGCCTTCTGCGAAGAAGGAAGCTGAAGTTCAGAACAGAAACCGGGTGGCTTGCTGGGGCAGCTCCCGTGTGCAGGGCTGGTGGGCACAGACAGGTCCTAAAGCAAGCCCGTCAAACCCACAGGCTCACACGGGCCAAACAAACAGGTGTAAGTGGACGTGGCCGAAAAAAAACAGAAGCTTCCATTTTCACAGAAACGTAGGTTTATTCCGACAGAGACATGCTGAACGCAAAGGGCTGGAACAAATGAGTCATCGTTAACATAATAGAACATTGTAATAAAAATTAACATTTTTTCTTGAACATTCACTTACCAGACACTGAATAACTGCACAAAGGAATAAGCGTCACGCAAATAAACCTATTTTTCTTGTTCTCCGAAAGCGAAATATTTCCTGTTGCGCACACCCAACAAGTCAGTCCGAGACTAATGACATGTCCATCAGCTGCTAAAATATTCGCCGCTAGTATTAGTGGAGAGAAATGGTGTGCCTGCACGTAAGGCGCGTAAGGGAAATGAATGCAACACAATTATAGTCATCAGTCATTAGCGAACATTGTAGTTTGTTATTGATGTCTAACAGGATATTGTAAAAATTAAGTTATGAAATTTTTATTAAAAATTTTTTTTAAATTCATCCTCACCCGAGGATACTTTTCCATTGATATTTAGGGAGAGTGGAAGAGAGAGGGAAAGAGAGAGAAACATCAATGTGAGAGAGACACATCAATTAGTTGCCTCCTGAATGTGCCCTGACCAGGGCCCAGGCCATGGAGGAGCCTGCAACTGAGGTATGTGCCCTCGACCGGAATTGAACCTGGGACCCTTCAGTCCGCAGGTCGACGCTCTATCCACTGAGCCAGACCAGCCAGGACTTAACATGTTTCTTATGAACCGTTACACTGGCTGGGCCGCATGCGGCCCGTGAGTTTGACATCCTGTTCTAGCGTGTGAGGGCGAGACTCGCCCGGCCCCATGACCGAGGGCACACGCAGGGCTGGGTGGCCCTAGATGGCCTGCTCCCCGCGGACTGGAACTTAAAAGGCCCCGTTTAGCGCAGCCGGACCACTCAAGAGGTTGTCCCAGCTCCGACGTGGCCGCCACATCCATGTGTGTAATCAGCGCAGCCGATGAAACGGGCAGGAGAGCGGTGCCCCTTGGCCGGCAGGGCACAGGTCCAGCGTGTGGCTGCGTGGTTGGGGCCGCTGCACCGCAGCCT